AATGATAATGCTTTAATTTAATGTTAGTTGAGAAAAAGGTGGGCATATTTTTTGGTAGGACAAGCAATTTTACGATGGTAACCTGTCCGAGGGCAAGTACTGAAATATTCCATTTGTCTACCCCTGATTATTGTCTTAAAGTTAAGTTTAAAAAAATCTTCAACACATATTTCAATGTATTGAAGCAATTGTCAAAGATAATACGTACTCAAAACCTTTCAATACCAGCGGTTGACAGAACCTCGATTTCCATGTGGCCCTCTTCATGACATTTGATCAAGATTACTGTTTCATCTATTTCATTCAATCTTTCATTAAAAGTGAATTATCTGAAATTTATATATATTATATATATATATTATTTGACAGAACCTGGATTTCCATGTGGCCCTCCTCATGACATTTGATCAAGATTACTGTTTCGTCTATTTCATTCAATCTTTCATTAAAAGTGAATTATCTGAAATTTATACTTTTTCTAATATATGACATTGACACATCACTTTTTAAAATGACTATTTAAAAATATATCAAACCCTCTGATTCTGACATTTGGGGCTACGCTTACAGTGACTATTCAAGCTTCAACTACTGTGATTGGATGAATATATTTACCTCAGCCAATGACATATTGCATTTTGAAAGGCTTGTGAAAAGTTTATTTATATTTCTTTTATTAGGGCCCTGCTCTGCGGGTGCCCTATAGTGATCAGTCTGTCCGTCCGTCCGTCTGTCCGTTTGAGATCTCTTGTCCGGAGCATATCTTCTCTCTCCTTGGCCCAATCTGGCTCATACTTCACCCACAGAGTGTCTATGGGTAAAGGGTGTGCAGTGACCTTAAACCATGTTTCTAGGTCTAAGGTCAAGGTCATAGCAGAATTATATGAAAAATCCTTGTCCGGAGCATATCTTCTCTCCTCTTGATCCAATGTGGCTCATACTTCACTCACAGAGTGCCAATGGTCAATGGATGTGCAGTGTCCTTGAATGAAGTTTTTAGGTCAAGGGTCAAGGTCAAAAATAGCCTCTCTGTGTAAATCCTTGTCCGCAGCATATCTTCTCTTTCCTTGGCCTAATCTGGCTCATACTTCACCCACAGAGTGCCTTTGGGTAAAGGGTGTGCAGTGACTTGAACCATGTTTCTAGGTCTAAGGTAAAGGTCATAGCAGAATTATATGAAAAGTCCTTGTCCAGAGCATAACTTTTCTCCCCTTGGTCCAATGTGACTCATACTTCACTCACAGAGTGCCACTTGTCAGTGGATGTGCAGTGACCTTGAACGAAGTTTCTAGGTCAAGGGTCAATTTCAAAAATAGCCTCTATGTTTAAAATCTTTGTTCGGTGCATAATTTCTTTCCCTTAAGTCCAGTCAGCCTCAAACCTTACCAATTGACTTAGGGTATGGATCATTTGTGATATTCCTTCCATATTTCTGATAGAGGATATGCAACAATTTTCATAGAGGATATGCAGCATTCGTGATTTTTTAGTGCTGTTTTTTGATGGAAGGTGTTGAGCACTCGTGATTTTCGTGCCATTTTTTATTATAACGAGGATAACATAGAAGCCCTTTAGACTCAAAAAACACATCCCTTAATAGTACACAAATGTTTCTCTTCAAAATAAACCCTTTTCAGCTACCTTACATTTCCATGTTCATTGCTGAAAGCAGGGCCCTTTGAGATGGCCACCATCTCAATGATATCTAGTTTTTTCAGTGACTATAAATAAACTATCGGCGGAAGAAATAAAAATAAAACTTGAATTAGGGACTTTTATTTTTATTTCATTTTAGCCCACATTAGGGTCAGCGCTCCCGTAAAACAGGATATAAAAAGATGTTGGCCTAAAGGCTTTAAAACTGTAAACAGTATTATGATTTTCTATTGCTCAGTTCCATTTTAGTGTATGTAATATTTTTATATTGAAAATGAAACTTGGAAATTGGGTTATTTGGCATTCAAATCGTAGAGAATCTAGAGAAAAAATAATTGTCTGCATTAATATAGATGGGTTTAGTTACAGTCTTATTCTGAATTATATGAGATAGATAAAAGTGCATGTCATCAATATAGAGGGTGTTTCAGAAAACATGCAACCATTTTGATTGATTAAATTTTACTGGTGTTTCAACCAAAACCATGCACCAACATATCAAATTAAAAGTCACAATTTCAAGATTTTTTCTTATGAAAATAAAGTTAATATGGCAAATAGTTAATGAATTACAAAAGAAAAAGGAAACTCATAAAATTTCACTCAGTTAAAAAATATGTTCTAAATGGCGTCATTTTTGCTGAATGAATAAATCTATCCGATGCAAGGAAGTTCTCATTGATATTGCAGAGAGTCTCTTGGTAATGAATCAGGTCTCATTTTTCGAACCATTTTGAGTTCATTTGTTTTTTTTGTTTTTTGTTTTTTTTTTTTTGGGGGGGGGGGTTATTTTAAAAACTTTGACCTTTAAATATCCCCACAGATAAAAGTCAAGGGATGTTAAGTCAGGTGAGTGTGGAGACCCAATTTAACAGATTTGAAAGAGTTGAATAGTCCTCCAAACATTTGTTCTAACAAGCCCAAGGTTTAAGATTCAAAACATATTTCAGCATCTGATCTACACTTGACTTGCTCAATTTGTTCCCAAACTCAGTTATTTTACAGAAGGATTTCATGTAAGTCTGTGGAACAATGCCTCTTTTGTAACATTCTGAATGTTTTCATGTGTTCCAATTGTCTTTTTCTTCATTTTTTTTTCTTTGAATTTCTTTGCTCATGCATGAACTCTTCCATTTGCTGCAAAATTTTACAGATTTAATTATACAACTTCCACTTTATATTACTATTAGTAAGTTCTTTGCATTCTGTAAACCTTATTTTCTTTGTCCGAATCACAGGAACTGGTTACATGCTCTGCTAAAGCAGTTTCGGAACTCCTGATGATTGCTTTTTATTAAATTCCACATTAAGAATGAAATTATCTGTTTTTTCAGTGATGTCAAATATGACGTCATAATTAATTCAAATGGTAATTTTTTTTCTAAATTTTTGTTATTAATAAAAACTTTGGCCTTTTTAGCATAATTTTATATAAAACTTTCATATGTTTCTATTTGCATATAAATAAAGAGAGGAAAGTGAATGGTTGCATGTTTTCTGAAACACCCTGTATATATATATATATATAATTATATAGAAAGCACAAAGAAATTCACTTTTATAAGGATACCCCCCCCCCCCCCCCCCCCAGCCCGGGGTTGAACACTCGACCTTCAGAATCTGTTTCCTAGCAGTACAGGAACAGCGCGCTAGACCGCTCGGCTATCTAGGCAAGTCAAAAAACTTTCTTTCGATGCCGATGGAATTCTCACGGCGCTGTCCTACACTACACGGTCATTGAGAATGGAAGTGAGATACAGTTATTTGGACATTATAGTTTTATTAGAGGATCGTTACCAATACACGTTGTAATGAAATTAATTTTTATTTATAAAGCACATTTTACAACAACTCTTAAACTAACATAACTACCCTTAGTGAAGAAATATTAATACAGAAAGCACAAAGAAATTCACTTTTATATGGATACCCACTTCCGCCCAAGCCCGGGGTTGAACTCTCAACCTACAGAATCTGTCTCCTAGCAGTACAGGAACAGCGCGCTAGACTGCTCGGCTATCTAGGCAAGTCAAAAATTTGCTTTCCATGCATCTAGCTTTAAGAAATAATTTTTTTAGCAATGAGAAAGAATATTTATTGTGACTTAATTAATTCTTTTTTTATGTTCAATCATCAGTCTTGAAAAATAATTACCTGTAAATTCAAAAAGTGACCAACTGATCTAACAGAAAAAGCTAATTTTATCATTAACCCAAACAGAGTTCTGCGTATCTAATTTATTTAATTGCTTAAATGTGTTTTGTGATAGATCAATGGATGAAATGGCTGCCTATCACAGTGTAAATAAGGTTGTGGGTGAGGATTTGAGTGGCCGCTAGCCACATTACACAGGTGGCCGTTTATTCAGTTAAAAAATATATTAAAAATCGTCGGGGGAACTGAAAGTGGCCACTGATCGTGAGTGGCTGTTGATTTCGAGTGTTCGCTAAGACAGTTTTGACTGTACTAATTAAATCAGTTAATTATTGCTGACATTTAATTTTTAATGACGTAAAGTTTGTCACATGATCAGACTTTCTTGTATATAGAAAGCAAACCACACAGTGTTTCCTGTGTAATAAATATATATTCTGTGTAAATAATTCAGTCGATAACGGTAAACCAATTATTATTCATGGCATCTTTTATTTGCAATTTCTTGGTTTGAAACCTATCCATGATGATTAATTTTCTTGACTGAGAAGATGTTCCACTGGAAACAAATAAAAAGCATAATTGGTTCACAGCGAGAATATTTTGCAAGTAAAAGAAAATCGTGTAGCTTGCAGATATTTCTTGCATGCAAATAATGGTTTACAGTTTCAAAGTATACTTGTAATGAGAATTTAACAAGATTGTTTAATCATGCTCACTCTGCCATTATTAGCTCACCTGAGCTGAAGGCTCAAGTGAGCTTTTCTGATTTAAATTTGTCCGTTGTTTGTTGTTGGCTTTGTCATCGTTGTCGTTGTTGTAACATGACTTAAGCTACTGTAAATAATGAGCATGTAACATATTTAAAAGACCAAGTTGCTAATTGACAATTATGTTCTAAACAATAACTTTGACCAAGCGATTTTATAAAATGTCAAAAGAAAAAATCCATACATTTGTATTAATTTTAATTAAAATATCATATTTAAACACATAAATATGTTTGTGTTTATATTTAAAAAAAATAATAATGAATATAGACAAGTGTGACACAATGCAAGTTCAATGTTTATTATAGCTTTTTGGGTTATATTGAAATTCAAATGTATTAAACATTTTTCAATGGTCTCCTGATATTCAATATATCTTGAGTAGGCTGTAAATACAGGTTTTATCTGAATTACTTACAGGCACTATATACCTGACAGGAGGCAGTGATGGGTCACAGTCTCTCAAGTCCACTGAGATCTTGACCCCTGACCGAGGCTGGGTAATGGGTCCATCACTAAGCATTCCTCGAGCTAATGTGGGGGTGGTAACCTGTGATAAGCGCTTGTTTGCTGTAGGAGGGTTTAGTGGAAAAAAGTTTCTGGACAGTATGGAGTTCCTATCTGACAAACATGAAGAATGGTGCTGTTATCTTCCAGTGGAAAATTCAGTAATTGCAGAGAAAATGGCAAAGCGCAACTCAGAAGGAAGATTAGAAAAATTGGATCAGAATTCCAACTGTGAAAAGACCTTAACCAACATTCCATGTGATGCAAGTGTAAATGACCATTAACAAAAATTGTCAGGTTATATTTGAGGATTCTGGGCCACGTTTAACAAAAGAACTAATATGACTAGGATCGATATTTTAGTTGGTTTTAGCAAATTGTGTACTCAGTATTTAAGATAAAAACAACTTTAAAAATATATTTCTAAATTCTTAAAAAATTAGTTATTTAACATTAATTTTAAGAAGACAATAATTTGCAAAAACATATTTTGGTTTTAGTCATAAGTTCTTTTGTAAAAGAGGGCCCTGGTACTTAACTATTGGAAGTTGTAAGGGGTTTATGATTATTAATGTTTCTGAAATGTAAATAAAAATGAATTTTAAGTTTACATATGAATGTTTTTTTAAATAGAGATTAAATATGTATCCATTAAACAAAACTTGTAGAAATTTATGAAATTCATAGATTTCAAATCTATTCATAGAATAAGTATCTATCTTTGAAAAGTCAACTGACAGTGAATGATTATTCCTACAGTGAATTTTTCTAGTACATATAGGGAGTGTAGCACATAGAGAAAATTTACAGTTTTAGTGAAGTGTTTTAGAATACCTGTCAAAATTTATGGTTATGACAAACTCTGATATAGTGAATTTACAGATAAACGTATAGCAAATTGATTTAGCATCCTGTAGAGAATAACTATAATATTATTTACATCTTTAATATTGAATTTTTAAAGATCTCGAAATTTATAACAATGAACTGACAAACTTTTTCAAACAATAAAAATTTACATTTGAAATTTATTTTATCAGAAAACTTCAGTTATCTAAGGTAATTTTGTATTGAATACATCATTGATTATAATTGGTTGTCATTCTAGAAGAAAATGTGTACAGTAAATTTGCTACAGATATAGCCAAATAAATTTACAGGCCTCAATAGTTTATCAAGTTTTACTGTATTTTATGTCATATGTTAAGTATTGCTTCCTCTTTTCGTTCATCGTTGTGAATTTTATGATATAGGTTAACATTTGAACAATTAATTACAGCTTCTTTTTCTGAATTGGCTGGATCTTGTTTTAAAAAAAACAGGCAAAATTACCTTAAAATTGTGTCCTTGTTTGTGTTTTGGAAATAGGTTGGTTAGACAGTAGCTCTTATAGAATTTTCTGAAAACAAATGTTTTGTAGAAGTAATTGATTACATAAAATTCATGTATTTAATGAGATGTAACCAGAAAACCAAGCTATAATTGTGATACTCTAGAAAAATACAATTTTAGGGTGTACGTCGTTGCCAAATCAGACTATAAAGTATTTTGCTTATTGTCAGAATTCATTAACCATAAACTTGAATAATTTTGGAAGTTCATTACCTGGTAATTTGGGTTCATTGCAGTCCCCAGAGACATTCTTTTTATGCTTGTATTTGTGGGTTGTAATTGACATACAGTTTAAACAATGTAAATTTTCTATATGTACTTTTTTTTCCACCCATACTTATGATGCTTTGTCATTTTTGAATGATTGAAGTTTAGCGTTTCTTAAAATTAACAGTACGTGGATATGTTGAAGATGAAATTTGGGGATTCCCAAGAACTCAAAAGTAATGACTTTAAAAAAAAAAATTCTCAGTATTATATGACATTACTTATTAGCCGAAGGCTCAAGTGAGCTTTTCTGATCAAAAAATGTCCAGCGTCCATCTATCGTCCTTCGTCTGTAAAATTTTCACATTTTCGATTTCTTCTCAAGAACCACTGGGACAATTTTGACCAAACTTTGCGCAAAGCATCCTTAGGTAAAGGGGATTTAAGTTTGTTCACAGAAAGTTCCACACCCTCTTTCAAGGGGAGATAATTAAGATTTTGTGGCATCTTATAAATTTTCTTCTCAAGAACCTTTGGGCAAGAAAAATTGAAACTTATGTGAAAGCTTCATTACATACTGTAGATTCAAATTTTTCATATCTAACCCCTGGGGGTAAGGAGGGGCCACAGGAGGGGGTCAAAGTTTTACATAGGAATATATGGGAAATGTCTTTAAAATCTGCTGCTCAAGAACAGCAAAGCCATGATTAGTCTTATTATTATAGAAGTATTCCCAGGTAGTGTAGATTTAAGTTTGTTCCAATCATGACCCCTGGGGGTAGGGCAGGGCCACAACAGGGGGTCAAAGTTTACCATAGTAATATATAGGAAATATCTTTAAAAATCTTCTCAAGATCAGCTAAGATGTCAGGCATAGAATATTGGAAAGATTTTGTAACATCAAAATAGTGTCATTAAAACGCATGAAGTTGACATACAAGTTTTGGAATATTCATTACATCTTTTATTTTGCAAATAATTGGTTTAAAATTCTCCCGATTAAGTTAGTTATAGTGTGAAAATATTGCCATCCAATTCATGTTTCAATATGAGTATAGAATGTTTTCTTATACATTTAAAGTTCCGAAATATCCAATTCAGCAATGTTGACTTTTTTTACGTGACCCCACCCCTGTTTTTTTTTAGGTCACCTGAGTCACTCAGGTGACCTATTGCTATCTGTTTTTGTCCGTCGTCGTCCATCGTGCGTTGTGCGTCGTGTGTTAACATTTGAACATTTTCAGCTTCTTCTCTGAAACCGCTGAACCAATTTCAGCCAATTTTAGCATATGGCATCTATGTGTGAAGGGGAACAAAATTTGAGAATTTCATGGTCCCTGCCCCCCTGGGGCCTGAGGGGTGGGGCTAAAACCACCAAAATTAATGCAATCTTTAAAAGTCTTCTTCTTTACTCCAGGACATCAAGCAGTCAAACTGTTGACATGACTGTAGTAAGTAATAAGTATAATAAGCCCTCTACCAAAATTCATGGCCCCAGGATCAGGGGTTCTGGTGCTAGGGTGAGGCTATATAGATCATATAGTGAGAGTGCATTATTTCTTTGAAAATCTTCTTCTCTACTCCTGGATATTATTGAAACAAATTGAAAAATAGTTATGATAAGCAAGGGTGACTCTATCAAAATTGTGAAATTCATGGCCCCAGGGTCAGGGGTTCTGGTGCTAGGGCGGGGCTATATAGATCATATAGTGAAAGTGCATTATTTCTTTGAAAATCTTCTTCTCTACTTCTGGATATTATTGAAACAAATTGAATACATATTTTTGATAAGCAAGGGTGACTCTACCAAAATTGTGAAATTCATAGCCCCAGGGTCAGGGGTTCTTATGCTAGGGTGTGGCTATATAGCTCCTATAGTGAAGGTGAATTATTTCTTTGAAAATCTTCTTTTCTGCCCCTGGGTACTATTTAAACAAACTAAGTACATTGTTATGATATGCAAGGATGCCTCTTCCAAAATTGTGAATTTCATGGCCACAGGGTAAAGGGTTCTGGTGAAAAGGGGGGGGGGGGGCTCTTGATAATTTAGTGAAAATGCAGTAATTCTATTAAATAATCCTGTCTGCTCCTTAGTAAGCAGATAAACAACGTGATTACTTATGATGAGCAAACTTCTTGTCCCAGGGTGAGAGGCTCTGGTGTTTCTCGGTGGGGAGGGGGGCTCTATTGATAATATAGTGAATCTGTAGTAAAATTGCATTATTTCTTTAAAAATTTTCTCTGCAGTTGGGTATATCAGAGGCAAAAAGAGTAAAAGTTTTGATAAGGAAGGGTATTTTTACCAGATTTTTGAACATCTGGACCATTTGGTCAAGAGTTCTGGTCCTGGCCAGGGCTCTATTAATTTGTATTGTACTGAGAGGAGTTATTCCCCTTTGCTGTTTACTTTTGATAATTAATCACTGTAAATAATGTACTTGAAAGGTTAATAGAATAAGACAATTATGCAAGAATTTTTATTGTATAATACAAAAAGTATTTTTATAGTTTTAATGTTCAGGTGGACTTGTATGTAATAGATAAATAAAAATGAGACAAAAATAACTTGTCTTATTAAATGTTCATCAAAGACCAAGAGAGGCCTATGTAAGAGATTTCAACAAGGAATTAAAATAGTGCAGAAGCACTGGTAGTTTGCTTAGTATACTGTATGGTGATAGTGATAAATGGGGAACAGATTAGAACCTAATTTATGAACTGTTAATGAATACTGGACTAATTATTTTGTTGATCCTGATCACCCTATTTTTCTTGCTTTTGGGCAACAAAGCTTCACCTTTCAGTTCATTTTATACTCTATGGATCCTCTAAATTGTTGTATTATACTCAGGTGACCGATAAGGCCCTTGGGCCTCTTGTTTTATTATTTTGTCTTCTTTCACCTTCTTTTTTCTTCTTTTTCTCTTTTTATTTTTACTCAATGACATTATAATTTTATCTGCTGGTGACAGGTTTATATTCTCTTGAACATGGCAAGTGTGCAGGAAATCTATTTCTGGTGTTATTTCATACATTGTCTAAGCGCGAAAATTTTAAAAATTTAATGCGTAACAAATTAGACAAGACATCCAGTCTCTGTTCAGTTTTCTGAAGAAAAGGTTTAACTCTTTTCTATTTTTTTAATTTGAAATTTTACTTATTTGAACATTTTGAAAATAAGATTTATCTTTAATGAGTCTTCCATTTAAGAAGTTAAAAAGATCACATCTATGATATATGTCTCGTAAAATATCATAATACGCTTATTTGTGTCATAGTAGCAAAACTGACTAGACATCAAAATCACTCTACCAATTTTTCCGAATACTTGCTTATAATTTTTTAAAGGAACATACATGTATGTCTACTTCTTGATTTGCACATTTCATTTATCATTTTAGTTTTACCAAAAGAACTTGTTATGTAGTAAAATTTCTCTACCAAACATTCCATCACTCCTTGTTACTTGTCAAAATTATTAGTCATAGATGTATTAATTTAGAAGTATCCTCAGGTAGTGTAATTCAAGTTTGTTCAAATCATGAACCCCAGGGGTAGGGCGGGCCACAAAAGTCTGTCAAAGGTTTACATAGGAATATATACATGTGTCTACTAGGTGTAATGGTTAAAGGACATTTGCCTTAAACGCTTGAAGACTTCAAGTAGTGGAATGACCTGACAACCCTTGGAATGGACTAACCAAAGGTTATATAAGCAAAGCTTGGGAAAGTCAGGCATTCAGAAGCTAGGTGGAGAAGTTGGCTGTTAAATCAGTAAAGAATTAAGGGTAAGAGTGAAATAAAAGTTATAAGCACCAGTGGCAAGTATCCTTGGGAATTGATGTTCAGTTCTGGGTGTAGTGAATCTGAAGAAGATTGAGACACCTGGTTCTTACCCCGGTATCTATCAATAGGAACTTAGGGGAGAAACACAGTGCAAGTAGTACATTACCCAGTCCCCGTCTCAAGATGAGAAAAATTTTAGTACTGTGTGATTTACCCTCAGACAGAG